CATCAATTTGCTCAAGCGGGCACCAGTAACGTCTCACAACAAATTGTGAGACTTGTTGTTACTGTTTTTGGCATCTCGAATACGTCACGGATAGCTTGCCAGGCTCTGTCGTGCAGGCAGGCTAGTCTCGGTAGCTTTCTGGGGTCTCAGAGAGGGGCGGAGGAATCAAACCGGGTCAGCCCCGTGCAAGGCAAACACCCTACCGCTATGCTAAGAATTGGCATAAGTAAATGTAAGATAGTATTGATCATCAAAAGATTGTGAACTGCACTTCTTTGCTACCTGCACAGGATAAAAAAAAAGTCCATGTGGCATGAATATATAATACCATTTATCTAAGATCTTGGACAAAAGAAAAATAATACTTTTCATTTATAATGATAAAAATTTCAGAGAATTTATAAGTGATTTAAAACTCATTAACCTAAAAAAAAAGATTTGAAAACCTTGTTTCCGTTCCACTGATTCCTGTAAAACAAGCCTCTCCTCCTAACTTTTTTTATGAAATTATTAATGGCAGCATTCATTTAATCTTCATTGATGGCAAAAATTCTAAAATATACTTTACAATAATTGTAAGAATTAGGTTATTAAATAAATTGGTATATCTTTCAATCTGCAGCAAACTATAAACCCCCAAAATAGCCATTTTAATTACTAAAGCACAATACTGACAAGGTAATTTTAAGAGAATTATAAACTAGTACTCAACTAAGATGCAGAGCAAAAGATAATATAATACTGCCGAACTGTAATACTTATCTATTCTTTTTAAAAAGTACATAATGTTCTGAAGGGTCAATAGCGTTTTTATATATGATAGGTAATGGTTTGAGTTTCTGCTATCAAAATTATTCTTTGTCATCTAATATTAATAGAAAAGAAAAACATTTTCAACTCCATTATCAATGACACTTATGCTTTGTGGCAAAAATTGACTTATCAGCAACAAAACACCTGTCTTATAGTATTTTTTCATTTATTTTTCTTTTTAAAGTACACAAGGGATACTTTAAAAAGGCAGGATGTGCTGCTTTCGTAACTGCTTAAAGAAAATCTGAACGATTCAAACTTTCCTCTAACAAAATGCAAAAACAGAAAGGTTTGTGTTTTTATATATAGGTGGGGGGAAAAAACCAATTAAGTTGCTGGGTTAGAAACTAAAACTTTAAATATTCCTAATAAGTCATTCTGACAAGTTTTGTTTTGACAGTGTCTCTTCAAATACTGGAGTAGGAGGGGGTGTTTGGTGGAACCAACATTACAACTTCTGTTTTAAGAAATTATCTTAGGTAGGCAAGAGTAACAGTACAGCGGGTCTTGCTTACAGACCGGCATCTCATAAGGTCCTCTCAGCAACTCCTGAGTACAGAGCCAGGAGTAACCCCTGTACCACCACGTGTGACCCAAAAAACAAAGCAAACAAACAAACAAAAAAACTGACATAAAATATTTTCTTAAAAAAGAAATCCCTTTAGTACAGAGAGATAGTACAGCAGGGAAGGGACTTGAAACCCCTGCATCCCACCCCGGTTCAGTCCCTGACAGCCCATATAGTTTCCAGAGCACTGCCAAGAATAAGCCCTGAGTGCAATCAAACATAACCTAACCACCTCCAACAAAAATAGAAATTATTTTATTAATGACCCTGAAATATAATACCCAGCTATCAAAATCTCAGAAATTAAGTTCTAGACTTCAGTCCCAATTCCAGGCATGGAAATGAAACGCTGTCTACTTTAACTATTCGGTCCCAAAAGTGGAAATGAAAGCAAAGACTGAAAGATTAAAAAATATTAACTTAAATTTGCAATTCTAAATTTCAGGTAACCAAATTTATTCCTGTTCTCCTTTCAGAGAAACAAATAACAGGCACACAAAAGTTGGGGGGGAAATATTCAATGTACATATTCAAAATAGCCAAAAAACATCAAATAAGGTTTTGCACAAAGCTCAGTTAACAGAAGACAGGAAACAGCTTCAAAATATTAATGTGCAATTTGGAATTAAGTTAGCAAACTTTAAAAACACTCATGCACCAAAAACTATGCAAAACATCATAAGAATGCCAATGTTTAAATGATTGTTGTAGATGGTTCATAAGCTACCATTATAAGGCCTAAATAAAGTCTGAGATTTACAAGTAATATCTAAAATTTTTTATGGAAACCTGAGACCTAGAATAGCCAGAATAATCATTAAAAAGACAAAGTCAAAGTCTGGAGGACTCAAACTTCCTGATTCCAAACTCAATACAAAAGCTACAGTAATCAAAACAAGGTAGTTATAAGGACAATGAGACACAACTGAAAATATAGAAATTCCACACACCTACAATTAGCTTCAATGGATCAAGTGCCTCTTCAATAACTGATGCCGAGACAAGATATCATATGCAGAAGAAATGAAGTTACACTTCTTTCCTACACAATACACAAAAATTAACCTTTATAGCCTTGAGTAAGAAAATAGTTATTTTCTTACTAAGTGATAACAGGAAAACAGGGGGAAAAATGGATGAAATTTTATCAAAACCTCATCAAAATTAAGATTTTGTGCATCAACAGACACCATCAAGAAAGTGAAAAAGGCAACCCATTAAATAGGGAGAAAATATTCACAAACTCACTCATAGTAGACATGTACACAAACTACAAAAAGAACTTTTACAACTCAACAACTTTTTAAAAAGGCCTAATCTGAAATGAGAAAATGGATGCAAATGTATGTTTTTCTGAAGAAAAATATATAAATGCGCAATAAGCACATGGAAAGATGTTCACCATAGGAGAAAAGCCCGTCAAAACCATCACAGTGAAACACAACTTCACACCATCTATTTACTTTAAAAGGTTTGATCCTTGGCACCCCATATAGTCCCCTACACACAGTCAGGAGTGAGGCCTGAGCACAAAGCCAGAAATAAAGTAAGCCTTGATCACTGACGGCTGGGTGCGGCCCAAAAACTAAAAAGAAAAGAAAAGAAATGACTAGGTCAGGTAGGTGGTTCAAGAGACAGATCAGAGCACATGCAAGCACTGTATTCCTATGCCCACCCCGCTGTCCAAGCACCACAGTGTTAACACTATTCAAAGGAAAAAAGACAAAACCAGTGCTGGCCAATATGTGGAAAAACTAGAACCCTCAGGTAAATTGTTAGTGGAAGTATAGTAAGGTATCCTCTGGCAGATGCTCCAGGTGTTAGGAGTTAACTACCTGGGCCAGGAGAGATAGTAGAGTCAGTAGAAGGGTTTGAGCTCCCACACCACACAGAGTCTCCCCAGCACAGCCAGGAGTGATTCCTGAGCACAGAGAGTCAGGAGTAAGTTCTGGGCATAGCCAGGTGTGCGTGACCAAAAACTTTAAAAGTTGAACCACATGACCCAGCGATTCCATATCCCCCCCAAACCAAACATGTCCTTACAAAAATCTGCATAAAAAAAGATGGAGGGCATGCTTTGCATGCAAGAGGCAGGGACTCAATCCAGGTAAGCCCTGGACTGAAAAAAAACTGCACCAGCCCCTGGATTACTACTGCTGGGTGTCGCGATCCCAAGAAATAAACGTGCACAAAAATATCCACAGCAGCATTTTTCACAAGTCAGAAAGTGGAAATGACCAAATGTCCACTGCTGACAAAATCAGAAATCAATGGAGTATTATTTAGGCATGAAAGGGTCTGGTCTCAATATATGCTACATGACGGGTGACCCCTGACTACATGCTAAATGAAGAAACCAGTCAAATGACGCACATGATCCCACTCACATGCTATGTCCACAGCAGACAAATCTACAGAGGCAGAACTCTACCGATGAGTGTCCTGGGCAGAGGGGTGAAGAACGATTCCTAGTGCATACAGGGATTCCCTCTGCTGTGATGAAACTATTCTAAAATGTACCGTGGGGAACCTGCAGAACTATGTAGTGCCTGAATCGTACCGGAGTTAATTTGGTGTCATAAAAAAAAAAAAGTCTAGTATTTATGTAGCTTGTAGCGAAGAAAGAAGACTTTCAGACAAACAACTTAACTATGAACTGATTCGATTACTCAGCAAGCCCGGGCTTGAGACGCTTCGGAATTAGAAATCAATACACACCCTCCTTATTCACTGAACCATCACTCCTGCAAATCGCTCTAAATCTTGCAACTAAAAGGGAATCCTGGCACTTGCAAACCCGCCAGACCTCAAAAAAAAAAAAAGATCCACCTAAGTAAGACACCTGAGTCAACGTTCCCATCCCGGGCAGAGCTGAAACTGGGCTCTTCTACTCCAACGAAACAGTAACTGCGGGGTCGGGGCGGGGGGCGGCGGGCGGCCCCACGGGAGAGAGACTCGGGAAATCCTTCTCCACAGACTGAACCCGGGACTAATCTGGAGTTCGAGGAGGGGTGCGGAAAGAACGAGGAAGGGGAAGGCGCGCGGGGCGCACGGGGGGAGTCGGCGCCTTTCGGCCCGGGGCGCCCAGTTACACGAATCCCAACTTTTATTCGCTTTGTGCCGAGGCCTGGAGGCAAAGTCCCCGGCGCCGCGCGACCCGGCCGGGCGGAAAAGCTGCACGGCCCCAGCCCGCACGGGACTTCGCGTGGAAATCGGGGGCGGAGGGGGGAATGGAGAGGAGACGAGGGGCGCGCAGGGGGATGCGGCCGGGGCAGGGGCCGTGCGGGGAGCGAGAGGCCGACGACGCAGCCCCCGGGCTCGGGCCCGGCGTCCGCGCCCGCGCCCGGAGCGCGCCCCGGAGCCTCCGGCCGGGCTGCCCGGCGCCTCCCGCCCCATCCGGCGCTTTGTCCCGCGGCGGGCGGAGGGGGCCGCACTGACAGCCCCCGCCCCCTCCCGCGCCGCGAGCCGGCGAGCCCCGGCGTCCGAGCGGGCTTCCCCGCCGGCGGGAGCCGACCGAGCCTCCAGCCCGGCCCGCCGCCGCCCGCCGCGCACGCAGGCCGAGGTCAGGCGCACGGGGCCGCGGGCTCCGCCACGCGCGGCCCGCGGCACCTCCCCTTACCCAGAAATTCTCGACGAAATGCGCCATGACCATCCTGCCGCCGCCGCCGCCGCCGTGCCGGGTTCCGCGTCCGCGCCCGCCCGCCGCTGTGTAAACACGGGCCCGGCCCCCACGGCGCCCCCGCCTTTCGCCGCCGCCGCCGCCGCCGCCGCCTTCTTCCCGGAGCCCGGCCCGCGCCCTCCAGCGCGCATGCGCCACCTAGCGGCCGCCGCCGCCGCCGCCGCGGGCCGGACCCTCAGACGCCGCCGCCGCCGCCGGCTGCGCGCATGCGCCCCGCGGCCCGCTCCGGGCGCCGGCTTTCCTTCGGCCTGTCTCTGTGTCTCTCTGTGTCTCTCTCTCGCTCTCTCACTCTCTCTCTATCTCTCCTCCGCCCGCGTGCAGCCGCATTGACCGCGCTCGTGGGAGTGCTGGAGAGCTGGATCCCGCGGAAGGAGCCGCCGAGCAGACGCCCCTCACCCTTTGCGGTGCCCGGGGGACACGGGCTCGAGCACGGAACAAAAGAAGGGCCCTCGGAAGGTCCCTTTGCCCGAGCCCTGCGAGGACATCGAAGGGACCCAAGCCCCGGACACGCGGGCGGGGACCGGGGAGGGGGCTGGCAGGGCTGGGGTGGGGAGTGTTGCGGGGATTGGCCTCCGGCCTCTCGGGGACACCCGGAGACGCCTTTTGCTCCCCGGGGTGCCTTCCTGTGACTGGGGGCCGAGCACCGAAACAAACTTTCCGTCGCCGGAAAAGGAGGAAACGCCCAGCGCTTGCCTGCGAGCCGCGAGAAGCGGGGGGCGGGGCCGGAGCGAGCGCTGAGCTCCGGCGCGACCCGGTTGCCCCGGCCGGCGGGCGGGCCCCCGTCCCCCGCCTCCAGCCCCGGGGCGCGCGCACCCCGCGGCCGGAGCTCGCACAGGCTCCGGGTCGTCTACGTGTGCAGCCCACCGCCTCCCCCGGCCCCCCGTTCCCTTAGCTCTGCGTGCACCTTTGGGAAAAGGAACGAGTTTCAACTTGCCTCTGCACTCACGGAGACGAAATCCCCCTTCCCACGCCTCGGTCTTCCCAAGTGAAAGGAGGGAGAGCCGGGATCCCAGTCCCCTAGAGAGGCGTCCAGTTCCCTGAACGTCTCCGCCAGTCCAACAGGGGCTTTTCCAGACCCACCGTTCTTGGTACCCAGCGCCATAAACGTTGACATTGGTGCGTGCAGTGTCATGTCGCAGATTTGGTAGCATCACACGTCTCCCTCTTGTCTCATGAATGATGCTAAAGTGTTGGTAGGTGATGGATTGGTAAGGAGTTTCGGGAATATATATATATATAATATTATATATTATAATATATTACATATTATAATATATAAATATAATATATATTATAATATATAATATGATATATAATATATATAATATATAATAGTGAGGAATTAAAGGCATCTAGGATTGGCTTTTTAGATAATTCATCAGGAGCCTGGGAGTTAGTTGACAGGGCTGGAGCGGGCATACTTTGCATGCAGCAGCCCTGGGCTCCATCCCCAGCCCTGCATGCTGTCCCCTGGGCACCACCAGGAGTGATCCTGCAAGCTCTGAACCTGGAGTACTGCCAGGCCTGTTACGTGTGAACCAAAACCCACAAGCAGGTTTTTAAAACGTCACTGAAGGACCCGGAGATAGTACAACAGGTAGGACCCTTGCCTTTGCCTTGCACGCTGCCCACCTGGGTTCAATCTCCAGCATCCCATATGGTCGCACATGTACCCAGGAGTGATCCCTGAATGCAGAGCCAGGAGTAAGCCCTGAGCATCACTGGGTGTGTCCCCAAAAACAAAAAAAACAATTAAAAATGCATAGTATATTTCTGCCACTCTTGATCTGATACTGAAAACCTCCTGTGACCAACAGCCATGTCACAGCCATGAAAACCTCCTGTGACCAACAGACAGACTTCAAGGAAATTTTTGGGTATTATTTGGAGGCCATACCTGGTGGTATGCAGGGGACCACTCTGTGCTTAAGGACCACTACCAGCAAGACTGTCCGAGGGCTTAGGGGACTCCTCTGTAGTGTTCAGTCCTTTAAGCCATCTAGAGAAACATGCCCTTCTAATGCAGAAAATCAAACCCAGCACCTCACACACACAAGACACGTATTTTACTGCTGAGCCACGTCCCTGGCAGGAAACATTTCTTGTCTTGTTTCTTTTATTGGTTTTTGGGCCACACCCAGCCATGCTCAGGGCTCATTTCTGGCTCTATGCTTAAAGACCACTCATGGTGGGGCTCAGATGACCATACTGGTTGTCAGGGATAGAAGCTAGGTTGGCCAAGTGCAAGGCAAGAACCCACTGTACTATCTCCACTGTACTAACACGTGGAAGATATCTTTTTATCTTTTGCCCTATGTCTTCCAGACAGAGTCAACTCCAGCTGCAGAGAAATAATGTAGGTGGTAATGGTTATTTATATTAGAAGTAGATTGATATTGGAATTCAGGCAATGAGCAGCAGAAGTGTTTATATAGGTAAGAGAAGAGAGAAATGAGTTAACTTGTAGAATCCTTCCTCTTAAGGTGAATGTAATAGGGTCTTGCATAAGACTGTATTGTTTTGCAAAACAAACTGATATCAAGTGCAGCTTTTCCTTCTCTTCATGTTCCAATTTTGTGGTTTTAGTCAGACACTTCGGCATCAAATTCAAATAGTTGCCTCTAGTACACCTCCATTTATACTCTTAACTTTGGTCCCATAGATATTGGAGTCAGGCCTGCCATGAAGATAAATATTTTTTGTGCGTTTTTTAAATTTTTTTTGGGGGGGGGGGGTATTTACAAGGTTCATTGGGGTCAAAACACAATATGCTGTAATTGCCCGGTATTTAAATTGGAAGATTATAGTAAATAGTGATTAAGATGACTAAATTTCAGACAAGATGGTGTAATATAAGAAGAATGTGGGTATCAGCCACCTTCTGTTCTCCCCAGTGAGGTTTGTGGAGATGCACATACACTCTGGCAGAGTACAGATAAGGCTCTGAAATCGAAACTCACTCACATGCCTTAAATTTCTTGTGCCACTCACACTGAGATCTTACTTATCCACACATTCTGAAAATTTTTCAACCTGACATAGATAGCAGGTTTTCTACTCACTGCCTTTAATGCCTGGCACTTAATAGCCACTCAGTAAATGTTCAGTGAAGTAATCGATGACTAACTGAGTCTTCATAGAAATGTCAAGGCGTTTAAGCCTTTGGGTATTTAATAACTCTGTTCTTCCTTTACTCAGAGTCTTAATTGTGCTAGCTCTTAGAACTTATAAAAATGTTATTGAAGAGGCCGGAGAGATAGAACTGGAAGTAAGGCACTGGCCTTGCATGTGGCTGACCCCAGTTCAAATCACCAGCACCACATGTGGAACCTGAGCACTGCCAGAGATCACCGTTGAGCATAAAACAGGGGAGAGAAGAGTCCTTGAGCACTGTCAGGTGTTCCCCTAAGTCTACACACACACACACACACACACACACACACACACACACACAGAGCGAGAGAGCTATTTAAAGTTCTACTTGATTCAATTTTTACATTATTTTCAAAATAATTATTCTACACTAAAATATATTTCTGAAAGGATAAACTCTATCTCTTGTACTTAAAAAAATACTTCTACATAAACAGGAGATCTATTGGGGGGATAGGTGCTCTCCTCTCTTTCTCTCTCTCTCTCTCTCTCTCTCTCTCTCTCTCCCTACCTTCCATCAGAGTGTTGTATCTTCCAAGAGATACAGTTGGTCTCCAAGAACTCTGACTCAGGCATGTACATTAATCACCAGAACAAACAGGGCAGCTACACAACTTGAAAAGTGGTAGCAAATAGGAGTATGAACATTAACACAATTCTAAATTCTCTGGCTTACAAAATATGCCTGGGGCTGAGGCTACAGATTGCACCAGAGCGTTTGCCTTGCCTGTCTGTGGAACAGAGAAGGACTATTGCGTCGGCCACTGGGTGCTGATATGTGAGGGCCCAGGTACAGCACACATGCACAACATTATATACATATATATGGCTTGTCTCCAAGATTTGAAGCCAAAGCAGCCAAAAACATTTCCCCTTTTTACTCCTTATTTTGATCTCCCAGTACTATTCTCGGGTTCACAGATCTCAGCACATCAATCAACATTTAGTTACAAAGGCTGTTTCTTCATCACTTCACATAAAATTAGTTCTATGCCAGAAGAGTTGGCTATAAAGTAAAACACATTTTCTAGTTTATTTTCCATGTAATTTTGCAAATGCACTTTGACTCGTCTCCAAGAACAGGGCCAAGAAGAAACTCCTCTACATCTCCTCTGCTTCCTGCTCATTTGAAGGGAGCGGCATCCTGTACCCGATGCAACAGTCCTTCTCTGTTTTGATCTGGACTTGACAATAACAAGTGCGAAGGGGCTAGACTCCATGAAGAGGCAGGAGAGCCAGCAGAGCCCTGAAGTCTGTGTTCCTTGTTTTTTCCGACTCACGGCAGCATATTGAAAGCAAAAGCTTCGTGCAAAACAAAAAGCAAAGCAAATGTTCCACAGATGGTAGCCCCGCAGGCTGCATAAGAGGCCAGGAGGCAGAGAAATGTTAATCAAACTACTGAATGGAACTAAATGTCACCCCCCACACAGTCTTCTGCTCAGATCAACTCTGGAGGGACACCTTCCCTCTCCTGCAGGCACACCCGGACCACTCTGGGTGTGGCTTCTTCTCCTCAAAAAGTGGACCCTCCTGTCTATGGAAAAAACATTGAAATACATGACATATTATTTATGGGTTTACACTGCTAAGTGACCATAGAAACTCAATAGAGCTTTCAAGAGTGACAAGGAAAAATGATGAAATCACAGGGAGTCAGAGAGACAGTACAGCGGGTAAGGCACTTGCCTTGCACACAGCTCTCTGGGATTCTATCTCTGGCAACTTGTAGAGTCCCCTGAGCCCTGCCAGGAGTGGTCCCTGAATGAGCGCAGAGTCAGGAGTGAGCTCTGAGCATAGCTACGTGTGGTCACAAACAATCATAAAAATACCTTTTTAGTGATGAAATTACAGAATGCCATAAAGGTGACAATAGCGCAAAAGAAAATATACAAAAACGTTTTCCATTTAGTGGAAAGGTAGAGGACATCATGAGAAACACATTAAGTTACCA